CCGGAAGTTCCGGGAGTCTCCCGCATATCGATAGCGTCTCCCTGATGCCTGCAAATTAGTTAAAATCTCCCGGAATCTAGAGCGAGATAGAACAGACTGCGCGTGCAATGTGCATGGTAGAGAGGGAGAGAGCGAAAGAGAGAAGTTGCTAGTCCTGCGCGAAATCTAGCTAGTCCCGCGCGCTCTCTCTCCCTTTGCAGACTGATCTCATAAAATGGCTCAAAAATACGTATAGATAACACGCCACTTGAATTGAAAGTGGCGTGTATGTTGATGCAAAAGTCAAGATGTCTTGTTGCCCTTTGGAACACCGCTGCACAAATCAGTCCAACACAGCGCTGTCAATGTCGGAGAACCAGCTTTAAAAAAAAAGTTATTAGCCAGCTTGCAAGGAGCCTATCTAATAAGGTGAGCTAAGTTATTATTAAAATACTGCTGGATTTTTGAGGTTACCACTCTGCATAGCTGGTTTATGGACGCGATCTAAATGTTTATTAGTAATGTTAGATGTTCCTCTAGTGGACAGAATGTGTAACAACAACCACAGGATATAGTGGCATTGGCGATCCATAAGAATGTGTAATGTTGTAAATATTAATAATAGGATGAGCATTTAATATTCAAATATTATTCGAATATTACATAAAATATGGAATGGAATTCGAATAGTATTATAGAGGAAGATTGACAGCCCTTGTGCATAGATGCTTAGCAACGACAGACGCCATGGGAAAATCGGACCGTATTTTACTATTAATAATAAAAGATAAGCTTTTATCTCACTCTTTTTATAAACAATGATTTAAAGACTGAAATATGGGAGGTTTATCTTTTTATAACACCTTTTATTTTTGTGAAAAATGATTTAAAGGCTGAAATATGTGAGGTTTGGTTTTTATAAAACCCTTTTTTTTTTTGTGAAAAATGATTTAAAGGCTAAAACATGTTTACTATGTGTGCCAATGGGTGGGCCAGGGTTGGTGGCAATGTAAGTATTGGGATATTTTCCGTTGGCGAGAGCTACTATTACCTCTCTCCTTTTTTGACCATACATGTGTTTGCATCCCTGTTAAACCCTGATCAAACTCGCCTGATATTTTTTTAATAGCTGAAAACCTTGATTAGGTTGTTCATGTGTGTTTGATTAGTTGAAACTGAACTCTGTAGGACAGTGGCCTTGGAGGAACAGATATGAGGAACCCTGCTCTAAATGACTTGGATACTGTTCGATTGACTGCAAAATGCTGTTTGGATTTTATTTGAATATAGGTCGGCAGACGGTGCTGCTCTGTGTGATCCGTGAGTTTACATTTTTCTCTTAAAAACCAACATAATTTAGAACAACTGAGTTCTCTCCTGTTAGTTTTAACCAAAACCGTGCGTCGTCCAATTCAGATCATCAGGTGCCATCGTGGAAAGAAGATACACCTTTTTGAAGAGGCTGTGTCAGGTTCTCTGCGCCCTGGGTAGCCAAATCTGCTCTCTAGTGGTGAGGGATCGCATGAACATCACTGTTGTGTATCATTTATCCCTTTGTCCATTTATGCAGAAGATTTTTATTGTTCTCTTCAGGGTTCAGATGTCGAAGTACAAGTTCCTGCTAACCTGAATAAATACATGGAAGCTCTTCTTGCCTTTACTACTCATCCCAGCCAGGTTTAACTGCATTATAGCCACTCGGTGAAACTCATTGGTCAACCAAGAATTGTAACTAAATATTGCATTCCATATTTGATATTATTCAAAACAGTTTCTGAGGTCTTCCACGCAAATGACCTGGGGAAACTTATTCCGACATGAAGTTTTATCGAAGGATCCTATAATTTGCCAAATGACCATCAAATATTTAAGATCAGCGAGGACCAATCTTGTGAAAGTAAGTGCTGTGAATCCCAGACACAGAGCAGTTTTGAGTAATTGTTGTCATACTTAATCATACTTAATTGTTTGCCTTTTACAGACTGGATTTCCCTCCAAGAATGATTGTCCAGGTTGTGAATTCTCCAGAGTGGACTTTGATAGTGACGAAGATTTCAACTGCTGCTTTAATTGTGAGTTATTATTGGTTAATTACTAGTATTTAAACATTTTCCCAATCATTGATAATCAAATGCACAGACGAGATTATCAACCCAGAAGTTCATATGTCGGATCTAAAAGTTGCAGAATCAAGTCACCTTTATTTTCCTGGCGCAAAATACGGATTATTTAAAAGCAGCACTTTACAGTGATCAATGATGCAAACATTGCTCAAATGGTCTGTAAAGCAACTCTTAAAGCTACAATATGTAATTTATTGGTCACAAGAGGGCGCCGTTTCCAACAATAACAAAGGCGTATGTATGTGACGCAGTGACAAGCTGAATGATGGGACTTGCTGTCAAGCTGATGGATCTAATAATGTTTAAGGATTAGTGAAAACACTCATGTTTTATAACATTACAGTGGTATGAAGCAGGTCGCGATTGCTAATAAGATACAAATATCACACGTGAGTCCCACGGATATAAAGAAATAAGGAAATTTCATCCTATTGAACTACACGCAAGTGTTGGATTACTCACACAGGTCTGTTTATTAGATGAATTAAACTTGAGGGAAACGCAGCGCTGTTCCACTTGGAATAACGTTACACTATCACACTAAACGGCATTTAAATGTGTGTTGAAAGTTATAATGTCATTCTACGTGTTACTGCAGGGTTTCCGCGGGGCATTAAAAAGCATTAAAAGTCATTAAATGGATTTTGCGAAAATTAAGGCCTTAAAAGGCATTAAAAAGCATTAAATTTGATTCTTACAGGTATTAAATTTTTTTATAGTTTTGAAGAGAATTTTATACAAATTTATTTGAATATAGCCTTCATAATTAATAATTTGTATTTGCGCTCGCAAAATATGTACGTTAGTATCGAATGTAAAAAATAGGTTAGTATGATAAACATGCGGAACCATTTTGGTAATTGCTTCCGGCCGGAGCAAAATTGCCGTGATTCAGAGGTGACGCGGGCATTTTGCACAGCAGTGGACAGGTCTGAAACTACTGAAAAATGGGAAAGTGCAAATTTCAGCAGAAGTGGCTGGAAAATGAAGATTTCAAGACATGGTTGCTGCTGGTAAACATTATGAAGGATTTTGCCGCGTTTGCAAAAAAAGGATTTAAGTTGGGGACAATGGGCGTCGGCGCCGTAAAATCACACATGCAGTGTGACGGCCACAAATCGGCGCTAAGAGTCAAACAGCAATCAACGATGCCTAATTACTTTGGTGTGACCGACAAATCTACAAGTAACGTTACGATGACAACAGATGCTGTAGTCACCAACGTTTGTGGAGCAATATTTAAAAAAAACAAAAAACAATTGTGTGTATATATATATATATATATATATATATATATTAGGGGTGTAACGGTACACAAAAATCACGGTTCGGTACGTACCTCGGTATATATATATATACATATATAAATATCCGTGGTTAGTCATGGGTCGTGTATGGCATTATTTTTTTTTTTTTATGGCATTAAAAATGCATTAAAAAGGCATTAAATTTCATTTGAAGATACCTGCAGAAACCCTGTACTGTAGTTCGTTTGCTATATGAAACTAGCAGCTAGATCAACATAAGAATAGCATACTGACTATATTCTAACATTTCATCATGTCAAAATAAAGTTATAACATTGATTTGTTTTATGTACTTTTGCTCACCTGTCTAATAAAGCTGTAAAGTCGTGACTCGTGAAGTTCTGTCAAGTCCAAATTAGTCGCGGAGTGGCGAGTGGAAGTCCGTCTCGGACGCTAGCTCTCGGCATCTCAAAAACATCACGCTGATATTGATCCTCATTCTAGTTCTCCTTGTTTTTCACAAAGTCTTCTTGCCATGGTCTATGTTTGAACGAAACAAGAACTGGGTGCCGCTAAACGTTACGCACTACGCAGTTGTCCGCGACTGTCGCCATGGTTACGTCATGGCTATGGCAATACGAAACGAGGGTAGCCGAGGATAGCGCGGATATTGCATCATTTACAGGCGACATTTTTTTTTCCGGGACGGCCACTTATTTAAAATTGGAATTTCTCTGAAATAAAAGGACTTTGGAGACTTTTGGGATATTGTAAGTGCACAATTGCAGGAAATATATCACACTGTGCAAATTATTTTTGGATATTTTATTACAAAATCCTTACATATTGGACCTTTAAAAGAAAGTGTTATTGTTCAGCTGAAGTCAGTTCATGGTTGATTCAGTTTCAGTGTAAAGATCATCAATTATTAAATTAGTTCAATTCGGCTATTAAGCAGCTCTGCATTAAACAATGAAGACATCTTCCAGCTCAGTTCCAGCTCAGACATCTTCATCTTCCAGCTCAGTTCTCATCAAATGGTGTCAGTGCAGTCAGATCAATCCGTAGCTTGTTTCACCACAGGGTGTGTGTGTCTGTGTGTGTGTGTGAGAGAGATTAAAGGTTCCAGTTATTGATTTTGTCGGGAGAAATGTTGATGGCACATTTGTGTCATCCTGCTGACTGCAGAGGACAGGAGAGAAAATGACTAGTAGGCGGATGATAAATATAATGTGATTGAATTTTATGTGGTTTGGAAAATAAATAACAGTTAGGAAAATGTATAACAAAAAAATCCCCCACCAACCAGTGCATGCCCTCTGTGATGTATAAAGGTATGGCAGAAGTAAAATGGTTTGAATCTCAAAATGATCACAAAGAAATAATATGAATACTACCTAATTCTTTTTTTTTTTTTTTTTTTTTTTTTTTCCTGATTGGGTTTACCCCTTAACAATATTTGTTAAACAGCTTTCAGGGCTCATCAGGGGGAAGCAGTTCGTCTGGCTTGCAAAATTGTCCCGTTTGAGGCCTTTCAAATTGCAAGGGAGTGGGCTCAGTATCAGATCAACACACCTATAGATACTGGGAACACAACATGTGAGTATTGTTACTACACTTTCTTTATGCTTGGTACTCTTTAATCTGTCACCATGTACGGTATACTGTCCTTGTCCAGAAAGGAAATAAAGACATCATCACTAGGGCTGGGTAATAAATATCGATTTCTCATTTTTACGAACCGATATCGGTTCTTAAATCTCAAGAATCGATTAGTCATCCTGTTTCATTTGAATGAATGGGACATTGTATCGCGGCTGTGCGCATTCAAAAAAAATCTCAATAATCTTTGTCCTTTGTTACTATTGATATGAAACAAGGTCTCAATTTTTTAAATTGCGTCCATTTTCTTTAGAGATTCAAAAACATAAATAAGGTTTTGGCGCTGTGGTGTGAGATCGCTCTAGAGAAGCAGCAGCGCTGATCTCTCTTCCGGCTCAATAATAACGTTACCAGTACAGCGCGAAATAAACATGAATGAGCATCTGAAAGTGTGTTAAAAGATAGAGTACAACTTATCGAAATCCGTATCATGTCACATTGATTCGCTCAATCAGCGTTTCAACCGTGGAAAGACGTCAGTTAAACAGCTTGTATTCAATGTATCGTCATATTTACCTCAGAAAACCCACATAAACTAGTTAGTCAGCTAGAAAAAATAACTCTAGAGAGGAGCATTTTGCTAAATATATACACCATATTACATATGCATTATAATCTTAATGTTCTTCAATATTTAATGCATATTTGAATAAATCTGGCAAGTTTTGTATGACAACCACCATTTAAATGTTTATATTTCATATAATCTTCTTATTATAAAAATAAATAAAAGTGTAATTTAAGTGTTTGTATAGCTACAAAACAGTTCATTATTACCTTCATATTAGGCTAATGAAGCCTATTAGGCTACAACTAGACTCCCATAGTTTACAGCATTAGATAAGAGATTTGATTTCCTTGAGAAAATTTGCCATTTATTGTAACTGATATCCAAAATACTCAATATTGAATCGAATCGAAATCGAATCGCATTGCAAGCTTGTGAATTGAAATCGGATCGAATTGTGAAATTTGTGTCAATACCCAGCCCTACTATGTTGGTTACCACAGACAATAATCAAAACTTCAAGTGACTTGACTTGACTTCAAAATCGATACTTGTGTATTACCTTAGAACGTTCCTTTAACATGGCTCAATTGGGTCTTATTTGTTGAAGCTAAGATAGATAAGGTTCTCTGTTCTGCTCTCTACCCTTCAGCGGTTCAGTGGGATGCCATGACTTTCTTCAGTGAAAGTGTATTTGGACAGCTCTTCAAAATCCTCGAAAAAGAGGCAAGACCATCAAATATCTTTCATGGTGCAGCAGTGAGGGATTTAAAGCGGATCTTGTTATTGAGGCTTTTTTCCCCCTGCACCTTTAGAAACTTCCCATAGATGAGGGCATGGAGCTGCTGCAGATGGTTGTAAACTATGAGACAAGAGACCCTCTCATTCTGTCCTGTGTCCTTACCATCATATCCACTCTCTTTCCCTTCGTCAAACACCAACCTCACTTCCTGCCCCAAGTACTCTCTAAGGTAAGCGATATAATCTGGTGTTTCAAAATTGTAAAGCTCTACGGTCTGGTCATATTAAGTTAATGCACCGACCCATAATACTGTTACACATGTTTCCGTCTCAACTATTTACGTTCGCTTTAAAAAAAATAACTGACTGTTTATGTGAATGCTGGCCCAGAACAGCATTTTGACATTATTTTGTGTGTATTTGACTGTTTAAGTGCGATAATCGGTGCTTAACAATTTAGCACCGAGTGGCGGCTTTAAGTGCGAGCAATTCGGGTGTGAGCAAAATCTGCGGGATTGAGTGAAATTATATGCAATACACACAATCTCACACCGAAATTCAAGACCTGTAACACCAATTTTAATCCGAAGTAAATGAATTGAGTGAGTGAGGGGAGGGGAGTCTTACAGTATTAATAATACTGTAAGTAATATTAATAATGTTTGCTGTTATGTTTTCTGTAGCATGCACAATATAGTTATATTGTGTTGTAGGGGTGGGGAAAAAAATCGATTCTCGATGCATCGCGATGCGGACGTGGACGATCCTGAATCGATTCACAAATGTCAAAAAATCAATTTCAAAAAAATATTTTTTATATGCATTTATAATAACGTAATATTGACGGAATGCGAAAGACGGAACTCTGAAGCGCGGAAGTGCAGTGGCGGGACCGTCTGTGGCGTGCACATAACAGAGATGAGATGGCACGCGAGATCCAAACACTTTCCTTGTTAGGTTAAAAGCTGACGTGTGGAAATATTTTGGCTTCTGAAGTTGAAGGGGGAAAGGAGCTGGACAAGAGCCGCACTAGTTGTAAGCTTTGTGGAATAAAACCAACGACGGAAACACGACAAATATGATAAGCCATATGACACCTTTCCAGCCAGAGGAGGAAAAACACTCGGCTGCACCAGTTGTTATATTATTTATTTACTACAAGTATGCTCCTAGTTCAAGCACACATTTATTTTCCTGGTCGTTCTTTGTAATGTTAATAAAATATATTGTGCATTAATTCTTTATGGGTCATTAATTTGTACTTTTAAAGCAAATTATTTATAGTCACACACAAAAGATTCAGATAATCGAACATTATAAATGTCTTGTACTTTAACTTTTGATCAACTTAATTTATCCTTGATGAATAAAAGTATAGATTTCTTTTTTATTTTGCCCAAAAAATTTAATAAAAATTCTTACCGACTCCAAACATTTGAACGGTATTGTTTAATGTTACAAAAGCTTTCTATTTCAGATAAATGCTGTTCTTTTGAATTTCTAGGTGATTCTCTGAATCGGGTGCCCTTCAAGTCCCCCAAACTTGCTTAAAATATTTTCAATTGAAGGAAATCACAAAATACATTTTAATGCTGTCAATTAATAGAACCAGGTGCATTTGCATTATAATGCAACAAAATTGCTTTTGAAAAAAAAATTAAAGTTAATAAATGTAAAGATAATGAGTTGCCTAAGTAGTAGATAACAAGCATGTTTGCGTGTCCCCACTAACCATCATTATATTTTCAATGAATATCAAACAAATAAAAAGTGCAATTAATACCAAAATGTTGCTGCTGCTAATATAATCATATGTTGATCTAGTGTATTTTCGTTTACTGTTGTGAAATGGAAAATCAATAATCGGTAATCGAGAATTGTCAATAATCGAAAATCGACTGTAATCGAATCGGGACTTCAATAATCGGAATCGAATCGGGAAATCAGACAGATTAACCACACCTATTGTGTTGTGTGTGTTGTGTACACTCCGCGCAGCTTCTAAGCGGGGTAAAGTTAGTTTTGTTTTTGATATTCACCAGACATTCACTGAAAAATGGCAATTACCTCCTAAACGACTTAGCCAAATATGACTTCACTCTATATAATAAGCACTGCCCCTCAAAAGCCGCCGCAATGTGAGTTTCTCCGGGAAAGCTTGCTCTGGACGGAGACGCGAGGAAGGGACCGTGTGGTAACTGCACTTTTTCTGACACGTTTGTTCAAACACTATATACAATTTTCAACACTTGACAAGCTATAATCCTGGTTATGGGCGATCCGTTGCCGACAATCTCTGCCTACGGTTTACCAATAACAACTGACTGGGTCATTTGACCAATCGCCGCAGATTCGCGTCACTCAAAGGAGGTGTTTGGGAAAATGAATCGTTGAATGAATCATTTGGTAGTCGTTTAGCTAATCAGGTGAAATGAAATGCGTATTATAAGACAAATAAAGTGTTTTTTATCCTTGCATGCACGTTAAACTGTTTTTGGGAACTCCCAAAACAAAAATAGGAACATTTCAAATGCTATGATAGGGGCTCTTTAATGTCAAGCCCCCTGCCTGTGGTCTGGTAATACATCTAGAATGATCTAGAAACAATCAATCCGTAATATGTGAGTTTGAATGTGGTTCAAAACCCCCTGTATTCTCTCCCCTTCTCCCCAAGATTTTTTGTATTCTCTCTGCTGTTATTAAAGCTACACTGTGTAACTCTTTTAGTTTATTCTTAGCTAAAAACACTTAGTTCTTTCAAAAATATATGTGCTCATTAATGTATATTTACTTCGTTCAAGTAATAAAGTATTCTCGTGAGTGTATAATATGCCATTGAAAACACATACGGGTAAGGGGTTCTAATGTTGCCCCTCCATCTTGAAAGTACATTAGCCAAAGAGGGACATACCCGTTAATTCAAGCTTCGCCTTTCGCGTTTACGTTTGAGTTAACACTCATGAACGAGGTCGAACTGGAAGCCATGTTAATCTTGAACTACATTGGCCACCGTAGGAGTTAAAATGAAATCGGAATTGAGAGGAACAGAAACTAATATTCACTGGATGGTCATATACCTTTTCACCTCTAGATGGGGGTAAAAATCACGCAGTGTAGCTTTAAGTCTTATGTCATGCATTTACATATTTTTTACAGGCATTTTAGGGTTTTTTTTTTATTAATAGCCTGTATGTGTTTTTCTTAGTGCAATTAAAGACCTACCAATATCAATTTTGTTTCCTTTCTAAGATATTCCCTGCCATCACTTTTGAATTGGTTGAAGAACGCAAGGTAAGTTGCCCATTCATGTAAACATATCTGCATATCGTTCTCTAATCAAACACTCTTGTTGACGTTCAGTGGATGTGTTCAGGCACCTCGAACGCGAGCTGTAAAGAACGTCAGAAGACACGCCTGTTCTTCCATCATTAGGATGTGTCGAGATTATTCAGACCTTATTCTGGTATGTTAAAGCATGAAAAAAATGTCCCTCCACAATGCAAAACATGCTATTTTTATTAGTTGTTATGATTTGTTTTAATGCTGGAAAATGATTTAAAAAAAAAGATTTATAAATTGTGATATTAGCATTCTCTTTTGATATAAACCCTAACGATAATAGATTATTTTTCATGCGTTGCAGCCATGCTTCGACATGATGTATGAGCACGTGAAGAGGTTGTTCTCAAATGAGATGCTGCTGACACAGATGGAGAAGTGTGCTCTTATGGAAGCCCTGATACTGATCAGCAATCAGTTTAAAGACTATAACAAGCAGAAAGCCTTCCTGGAGGAACTCATGGCACCTGTTACGGCCCAGTGGCTGTCAGAGGAGATGAGGAGGTATGAATGGATGCTGGTACCCAAGTTTATTAAACGGATGTTGAAATGAATGAATGATGTGTGATCCTTCTTTTATTTCTGTGTTGTGTAGTGTGTTATGGGATCCTGCGACCTTCTTGGCATATGTTGGTGCTGATCAGGTGATCAATGACCCTGATACAGAGGACCATATGGGTATCAACAGGTCACGGGTAGGTGTGCTCTAATATTGAAATAAAATCAATATTGCTCTGACTTAGTGAGATTGTCAGATTCCTCAGGCTTCGATTGAATTATTAAGTAAATATATGTGCTATCAGAGTGAAACTCATCATTTACACATGTAGTTTATGATGCACTGTTTTTTGTGTCTCATTTACTGTGAATGAGATGCTTTGAGCATTTAAATGAACATACTGTGCCTTTACTCTGAAACCGGCAACACATTTATTTATTTGGCAACCCGTCAAAATGAAAGCCTGAAATCACTGAGCAGATTTCTTATCACTTTTGACCTATAGGTGGCGCTGTTACCGAATAAATGTAGTATTCCGTGTGAGGAGACGGTGAAGCACAAAAAAGTTTGGTCTTTGGTGTTAATTAGGGCTGTAGTCAACCAAAGAAATCCTTGGTCGACCAAAGTCTTGTCCTGCACAACGATTAGTCGACAAAAAAAAAAAAAAACTGTTTTGATTGAACATATTTTAAACAATTGTCATAGAGCATTTATAAAACATCACAAATAAATATAACTATAATAATAATAAAATTATTTGAGATTTAAGTGATTTTTTTTAACTGAAAAAATTGAGGAGCTCTGTCTATGCAGTCACAATCGCGCACCTGATCACACCACGTACGCTACAAAAAAATAACTGCTATCTGCCACATTATAAAAAATCCTAACAAAAGCTCTCGTTTATACAGGCTTTATATTCTTCTTTACTTGCAAAGCTATGGGTTAACTTTTGTCCAGCCAATCAAGGCGTTTTAAACAAACACACAAACCCAAATAGCCTAAAAAACAATCTGAATAATAATAGGCTGTATTTTGGAAGGCATAAAGGTTTATTTTCGTTTTGTTGCATCATTTAGGCTATTTTCAAATGCGTAAAGTGTACAAATAAAAACGAAAAGCATATTAAGAAAACACAATCTATTGAGTCAGCATGATATAGCCGTTAAAAGGGCTGCTCACTTCTTTTGCGCGCTCAAGTTCGATTTCAAATGTAGGCGCGCGGTGAGCGGGCTCATAATGGAGCAACGCGATCGCCTCCCTCCACAGTCTTGTCGTCTTTGTTTTACAATGCAGCCAGACAAAAGATTTAGATTTCCTAAACAGCAGCACAGCCAGCCACAGGCGCGTTCCCGAGTGCTCTATGTGTGTGCGCTAAAACTGTGGCGCTGTTACAAAATATCCTAAATTAAAGCAATTAAAGTTGGGGATAAAACAAAGCCTAATTATTTTTAGAATACATTAATAAATAATTTCTTATAAAGGAATAAATATCAAGGAGTAAATCATTTAAAAAAATTCTTTCTATTGGTAAAAAAAAGTAACTGGTCGACCAATAAGAATGTCAGTCGACCAAGACGGCATCGACTGATTAGTCGACTAAACGACTAAAGTTGACAGCCCTAGTGTCAATATGCTAAAGTGTTGCTAAATCAGATTCTAAATCAAAATTTGTTGATGTTATTCAAGAACAATTTGGTCAATCGTTGATGATCTGAGCCTGTTTCGGGGAGAATTGGACTAAAGGTTTAGGAGGAGTTCGAAAAAGGATGTTTCAAAGAAATTATAAATGGCGGGCAGCAAATTCTACTATATAATAATGCATAATTGGAATCATAGAAAGATTAACATTACATTTAATCATTTAGCAGATACTTTCAAAAAGTTTTACAAATGAGTAGAGGAATAGAAGCAATCAAACTAACAATAGGACAATAATATGCAAGTGCTTTAACTTGTCCCAGTTAGTCCAGCATAGTTTACAAAGCTAAGATTTTTTTTTTCTTTTTGTAAAGATATTCAGCAAGCCTTTAAACATACAATTGACAAACTTTCGTGAGGACACAAACGAAAATGTCTACAAACGCAGTAACAAAATTATGCCGGTTAGAGATTCAGAATTTTGTTAGTCAGAGAACCGAGCGAAAAGACTACAACCAAATGTAAACAGACCCCTTTCCGTTTCCGGTAGCTAGCATAGTAATATCAACGAGCACTGAGTCCTCCAGCAGACATCAATGCGATTTTAAAAAATGACAAATAAAACACGACAGAAACGGTATTTCGGAACATCAACGAACACCAGCAACCACTCGGTGAGTTGCACAGTTTTGAAAATGAACGTTAAGGGTTGTTTTGTGGACATGTTTGTGCATGCCCATAGACACCCAGTCTAACGCTGTCACAGGCGATTATAAAAAAGTCAAAGAGTCGAGACAGGACCCAATGTCCACCACTATTTCATTCAAAACAAACTACAAAATAGACTCAAGGTGTTAAATACCAGAATTATCCTTTAAGTGAACACAAACTGTTGGGAATAAGTTGCATGTGTATCATTGTATTGGATCAGTGTATTCTGTCTTAAAGTGCCAGCAGTCTAAAAAAACCTGCTGCTGTCTGTTATTAATATAAATAACAACAAAAGACAGAGAAAATCACTTGTTGCTCTTTGGTAGATTTAGTAGGGCTCATCTATATTCAATTTATACAGTAAAGACTTGCAGTATTGTTTTACATTTGATTACTTTCTGTTGATCATGATTCATGAATGTTCTGTTTTTTCATTTTACGTTTTTGTTTTACTTAACCCATTAATTGTTGGTCTTTGAGACGCCGTGAGTTGAATCATAGTTTCGTAAATGAGTAGTGTTGGTGTGCTTCCAGGAACAGGGTTGGGAAACACTGGTCTAATAGATGTGAAAAATAATGAGTGGCTTTGATTGGCTTGTGTCTTTTTATGGCAGATTAGTTTATGTGTATACACCATACTTGGCATTGTGAAGCGTGCTCGTTGGCCTGCTGATCCTGAGGAGGCGAAAGCAGGCGGCTTTGTGATCAGCACTTCCTCGGATGGGACGCCCATCTACAGAAACCCTTGTGCAGAGCCTGTGCAGGCCCTTCTACCCAACCTTTTGGCCCTCATCAGGTACATTAGGTCATTTCTAGAGTGATTAGATTGTGTATATGTGCTGTTTTGTAACAGTGTTTGAAGTAGTTTCATGTTCTTCCTCCTTTCAGGACCCACAACAGCTTGTTCTTGCCAGAGAACGTCAACCGGCTTAGCAAGACCTTTACTAAAGTCTATGATATTATGGATATGGACAAGAATTCTGTTTTAGGTAGGTTTCTAATTTGTCCTGTCCTGATACAAACATCATAATTCAGGTCTCACCATAAAAAATAACAGTTACTGTTGCAGATTTCATCAATTATAAAACAAGTTCAATTCCACTGTAAAGCAGCGGTACAGACGACAATAGTCATTTATTCAGCTCAAGTCACTTCAGTGTTAATTTAGTTCAGTGAAAGTGTCAGTGCTGCAAAGTTAAAGGGATCGTTCACCCAAAAATTTCAATTTTATCTTCATTTGTTTTCTGAAGATAAAAGTAAGTCATATGGGTTTGTGAGTAAATGACAGAATTTTTGTTTTTGGGTGAACCATCTCTTTAATCAATTATGAAACGAGTTCAATTCAGGTAAAAGCCGCTCTACACAAGACAAGTAGCATTATTCAGTTATAATGGAATATTTTTCAGATTTTGTTTAGTGTCAATGCAGTTGAATCAATGGTATTACTGAATATTAATTGTCTTTTAAACACCAAACCCTGGTTATGTTAAAGGTCCCGTTCTTCGTGATCCCATGTTTCAAACTTTAGTTAGTGTGTAATGTTGTCGTTAGAGTATAAATAATATCTGTACAATTATAAAGCTCAAAAGTTCAATGCCAAGCGAGATATTTTATTTTAACAGAAGTGGCCTACATCGAACGGCCTGTTTGGACTACATCCTTCTACTTCCTCCTTTAATGACGTCAGTAGATCAGTTTTTTGACTAACGTCCGCCCACAGGAATGCTCCCTTAACTCCCTCAATATAACTTACTGAGTTTACTCAGCTCTTACGATGATTTTCTGAGGTAAAACTGACGCTTCATCTTTTGTGTGATGTACAATAAACTTTAGTAATCTCAGTTTGATCATCATTCGGACCTGGTCCGAAACAGCAGACTTGTAGGCTATTAAATAATGGATACATACAAGCAGATGACAAATACGTTATAATAACCGTAATTAAACTACTAAACTATACCTGTTCCATCTCTATACAGCACTCTGACTCTGTAGGCATTATTGTCCGACTCGAAATGAACACCGTTACTGAGAGTTTCTGATATTATCATTATTCTGTGAGATGAAATTGTCCTGAGAGACTGAGCGCAGAAGCTCCGCCCCCTGTGCAGGCAGCAGCAGCTCATTTGCATTTAAAGGGCACACACTCAAACTGAGCGTTTTTCTGAGCCCCAAAAAATGACAATTTAAACATGCTGTAAAAAATGATCTGTTGGGTATTTTGAGCTGAAACTTCACATACACATTCTGGGGACATCAGAAACTTATTTTACATCTTGTGAAAAGGGGGCATAATACGGGACCTTTAACGAAATGACTCTTCTTGTTTCCTACAGGAATTCCTCAACAAGTTTTAGATTCCTACGACACCCCAGTGTATAGAAACATAGATGAGCGCATGCAAGGCTTCTTCTCCTCACTCTACGAAAACTGGTTGGAACGAGTTCAATGATTAATTATTCTTTTTTGTTTGTTGGTTTAATATAAAAAAACCTCTTCTCCGATGGTGTAATCTCACTTTGATGATCCTGTTTTCCCTTTTCTGTTATTTTTTTTTTACAGTTACAGTGTGCTTGGGAATATTGGACCCTGCTTGCAACAAGACTTTTATGCTATAGAAGGCTTGGCGGAGCAGATTGTTGGATCCGCCTTTATCCATCTAGACAGTGTTCCAGACCACAGGCTCCGTCCCCTAGTCCATATCCTTATCATATATAAATATATATATATATTTGGGGGGTTTTTTGCTATTATTTATATAAATTTCTACTGAAAAGTAGAGCTGCAGGGTAAATTAGTAAAAGATTGCGATCTAGATTTAAACACTCACACATTCTCATTCCTAACTGAAAGTGATTCAGCTCTGTCTATCAAACCTTGTATAATCACAGCGAACATACAGGTCTGCGTTTGCACTGCCTCTGAACTACAGAGAAAACAGTGTATCGGTATAAAACGGCTTCAAAAACAAAGTCTTTTCAACCAGACTGTATATTTTTTCTGTGTTACAACAATCACAGAAATACTGGGATAAAGATCGGGATCGGGAAAGGTCAGCAAGCGGGTACTCTTACTCAGGGTTTCCCCGGGGTCTTAAAAAGTCTAAAAAAGTCTAAAATTTCTAAATCACAATTTAAGGCCTTAAAAAAGTCTTAAATTTGCTGAAGTACAGTGTTCTAGGTCTTAAATTATTTTAAACAGGTCTTAATTTTCCTATGTCCATGTAAATCTCTTAGAAATGCTCCCGCAGCGCTTTGGAATGTTTTTATTTTTTTATTCCGTGGTTGTATTTTTTATTTTTATTTTTATTTTGCTTGTTCAAATATAATTCGCTGTATTATGACTACAAAATAGACCAACATGCAACAGCCAATCAGTTTTGAGGTTTTGTGTTATTGGCGCGTATTAGAGCCCGACCGATAAAGGATTTTGAAGTCAGATACCGATACAAATATTTTTGGGTTTGGGATATTCCGATATATCGGCCAATATTTTTTTTTTTTATTAAATATTGTTGGATTTCACACACGTGTAAAAGAAAAGCTAACTTTTCTGCACAAGATACGTTTGATACTTTTTCTCTATGTCTAAATGTTCACTCCTCGCAAGTATAACTTACATTTTACAATGCAGGGACTGTAACTAGAGATATGCTAGCTATAAATACAGTAATCATTACTTTATTTAGGCAGAAAAAGTTCATTGTGGTTTCCAAGCTCATTAATGTTAACGTTAGCGCTCTTCCACTGATGATAGTGGCATTAGCTAGCTTTGTGGTTAGCTAGTCTATGATGAGCCATAATTTAGCAATAGATGACATCATACTGCAAATTGTAAAACATACATTTTCAATATAACAAGGAAAGATGATTGAAGCGTGTTTCATCCGTTTTTATTTTATTTAGTAAATATTCATTTATCGCTATTATAACTGCCGATACCGATATTATGGAAAATGCCTAATATCGGCCGATAATATCGGTCTGGCTCTAGCGCATATCTCAGATAGCACAGACAGACATAAAACGGATTTTATTCAGCTATGGGGAAGTGGAAGTTTAGCGATACTTGGCTTAAAAATCAGAATTTTGGATCAGATTTTGCTGATTTTGCTTTTGGATCAGAGCCAACACTAAAAGTGGACGTGCTCTGGGTTCTCCACACGGTGACAGGACACCAGTCCTACATTGTTTCAAATAATGTTTCCGGACTCTGACATGGCTAAATCCTTCAGTTGCGGGGAAGATAAAATGGACTACATTATGTGCTTTGGAATAGGGGATTTTATAAAAACAGAAACAGAACTAATTTCCAAAATCACGGGACCGTTTGTGCTTCTCAACGAATGTTCAGTTTGAATAATTTAAATTACTTTGCGAATAATTTTGAGACTATGCGTTTCCTTTGTACGTTTTTTTTTGTTCTTTTTTTTATATAGGTGTTAAATTTCATTCATAATGGTCTTAAAAAGGTCTTAAAAAGTCTTAAATTTGACTTTGTGAAACCTGCAGAAACCCTGCTTACTCGAGTCGGCCGAAGCTCAACATCGATACATGTCTGTGCGCTACCCACGGGGCTATCAGCGCTGACGTTCAAACCGTACGTTCATACCGCCGCCTGTCAGCGACGCCGTGGAAAGATTCGTGTACGCTCTGATGCTCTGACGTAGATCGAATGCGTGATCTTTTTTTAAAACCGTATTTAAAGGGGCCGCAAAGCACAATGAGAAGTATTTGACTCTGAATTAAATGTGCATATTATTGCCATGATTTAAACATCCCTGGATGGCTCACCCATTATTTACACGGATCCTTTTCATCAAATGTAGATTGACTCCTGATGAAGTGATTTAGGGTACAGTTTGTTTTTGCTGCCTGGTTGTTTTCCTTAATGTCGATCACGTCTCTTCATGAAGCAGCTGGTCGTGTCCTGTCCTCGTGAGTATTATGACAGCCTCCTCTGTCCTTTGCTGGGTCCATTATTTGCCTATCTACAGCAGGTAAACTTCACATCACACCCAATAATGCCTCATTTAAATACTGATATTGTGTGCCGCCTCTGCTGTGCAAAGATGTTTTGTTGTTACTGATTTCATTTGATTGATGTCTCTTTTAATTTATTAAAGGGTTATTAGTTCACCCAAAAATGAAAATTTTGTCTCTCCCTCATGTTGTTCTAACCTCGTAAGACTTTCGTTCATCGTCGGAACACAAATTAAAGGGATACTCCACTTTTTTTTTGGAAATAGGCTCATTTTACAACTCCCCCAGAGTTAAACTGTTGAGGTTTACCGTTTTCGAATCCATTCAGCCGATCTCAGGTGCCGTACCATGAGTGCAGCAGGCGTAATGATATGACGCAGCGCATGAAAACAGTCCCCAGCTCGGCGACCGGGACTAAGTTTGTAGTTATGTTGACGGAAGGTAGCCTATTTTCAGGCACTGTGTCATATCATTACGCCTGTTTCACTCATGGTACGGCAGTGAAGTTTCCTGATTATTACGCAGGAATGAGAGTATAGTTCCTAGCCATATCAGCCTAGAAAATCGCAACTTTACGTTTTCCGTCAGTCTTAGTGCACGATGTAACTACAGTAGAGTCAAGTTTTAAATAGGAAAATATCTAAACACTTTAGCCATATTTTTTTTTTTTTTTTTTTGAAAAATGCTGATGGTCTTGTGCACTATACTACACTATGCTAAAAGTGGTGCCGCCAGAACCGGAGATCGGCAGAATGGATTAAAAAACGGTAAAACTCAACAGTTTAACTCTGGGGGAGTTGTAAAATGAGCCTATTTCCAAAAAAAAAGGGGAGTATCCCTTTAAGATCAGCGTCAGCCAATAGTGAGCTTACGTGTGACGTACAATACAGAAACGCCGTGAACTCACTCGAGGCCCACAGAGAAGAGAATGAATAGTTGAATAAAGCTGTTTTTTCGGGGGGTTTATTGCACGCAAATATTATTCTCATCACTTGATAAACTTAAGGTTGAGCCACTGTAGTCACTTGGACAATTTTAACGATGTCTTTAATATCTTTTCTGGTGAACCAGCTCTCAGATTTAATCAAAAAATATCTTAATTTGTTTTCCGAAGATGAACGAAAGTCTTACAGGGTTGAACAACACGAGGGTGAGTAAATACTGACAGAATTTTCATTTTTGGGTGAACTATCCCTTTAAATTAAAGTGAATTTATGTATACTTCTAATAAGGTTAAGAACAATTGCCTTTATAATGGCATGTAATAATTTTGGGTATCGGCTTTCCATGACGGGCTTAAAAACCATCCAAGGTTCTAGCACAAAAGCACACTAAATATCATCCAAATAGCAACAAAATATCCATAAAATATTGATTTGATTGATTTGATTTATTTTTTTTTAACAGGACAATGTGCAGTTACATTGAAAAGATGGCTGCACCAGATTTAGCACTATGCGAATTTCCATCTGTAGTCCTACACAAATACAATCACATGACAAGATAAAATTACATTACAAAAACAATTAACATATAAAAATCATGTAACAGTGATGGTTATTTTAATACAATATAAAAAGACAATTTACTAGGAAAACACAGTATACAAAGTAAAAAAAAAGACGAAACAAAACAAAATAATAATAATAAAATAAAAAAATATTTATTTTCTTTTCTTTTTCCTTTCAATATTACATACATAAACACAGTATAATGAAAAAGCCATCCGCTTGAGGAATCATTTTGTTTCTTCCTATTGAGGTATCATTCTGTTTTCAATATTGAAGTTTGAAGGTTGCACAGACACTTCTGTTGTTCTACATCATTCAGTAATTTTGGGTATAGTGAAGCAAGCAATATTGCTTGTAGCACAGGATTTGCCTAATGCTATCTCCATTTTTTTTTTTTTTTTTTTCATTGAAAACAGAGACTGAGTTTTCGGTGGCAGATCATCAATCAAAGGACCAGTCTGAGGTAAAGTATTTTAGTTTTGGATAATAAACTTTTTTTGTGTATATTTCTGGCCATTTGGTCAGTTCAGGCCGGTGTCCAGGAGTGGAGACCCGATGTCTTTTACATTTCTTTTAACACCGCTTTCTTCTAACACGTCGTGTGTGAGACCCCTGCCTCGTGTGTGTGTGTGGTTGAGACTGACACGAGTTTCTATTCTCCAGAAGCCTCGACTGAAGCCCCATTCACACCACCAGTGACTTTGTAGCTGCATGTTGCTTGTGTCCGTACTTCAAGTCACTTGTGGCTGTTTCTTGTGCCGTCACTTTAAAGTTTTTTTTTTCATTGCTTTTGAGAGCAGTGAGTGATTTTTCTTTTTAATTTGTTCTTTGATTGTCCTTAATGACAGACAGCAGCAGGTTTATTAGGCTGACGTCACTTTAAAGGATTAGTTCACTTTTCAAAAAACTTTTGCTGATAATTTACTCACCCCCATGTCATCCAAGATGTCCATGTCTTTCTTTCTTCAGTCGAAAAGAAATTAAGGTTTTTGAAGAAAACATTCCAGGATTTTCTCCATATAATGGACTTCAGTGGGAACCAAACGGTTCAAGGTCCAAAAGACAGTTTCAGTTCAAACTGCAAATTTGTTCAAAGGGCTTTAAGCGATTCCAGACGATGAATAAGGGTCTTATCAAGCGAAACGATCGCTCATTTTATAAATAAATAACAAAGTTTAAGTTTTATAAGCTCAAACGCTCGCCTTGCTCTGTTCTGTAACGCACTCCTGTTCGAACTCGTTCATCAAAATGAACAAATCTTTTTCCGAGTCATTTGGTTCATTCCGCGAAAGAAACGAACGAATTGATTCGGAAAAAGATTTGTTCATTTTGTTGAACGAGTTCGAACAGGAGAGTCACAAACGCGCACCACAGAACAGAGCAAGGTGAGCGTTTGATCTTATAAAACTTAAACTTTGTTATTTATTTATAAAATGAGTGATCGTTTCGCTTGATAAGACCCTTATTCATCGTCTGGAATTGTTTAAAGCCCTTAAAACAAGTTTGCAGTTTGTACTTAAAGTTTCTTTTGGAACTTGAACCATTTGGACCCCATTGAAGTCCATTATATGGAGAAAATCCTGGAATGTTTTCATCAAAAACCTTCATTTCTTTTTGACTGAAGAAAGAAAGACATGGACATCTTGGATGACATGGGGGTGAGTAAATTATCAGCAAAAGTTTTTTGAAAAGTTCACATGACGCACATCCAAATTAAACTCATCATGCATCTGTTCAGTATGGTAGCATTCTTAACCCAACATAATAATACATTTAAATAAAATCATTATTATATTGGTGTGAGAATGGCAACATACTGATGTTGTAAGTTTAAATAGAATATCCGTGTTGGCTTTGTCAATTCAACATGATTATTAATATGGCTGTTATTGATGTTTTAGTGCTCAGGAGGAGGACGAGGCCTATGAGGAGAACCATGTGACTCAGGAAATGGTGGAGGAGCAGCTGTTGCGGTTGGTCACGAGAGAAGTCATTGACCTTCTAGGTGAGTTTCCCTAATGCATGTGAAGCCTATCAGGTTTGCTTCACTTTTTATACAAAATAACACCAACTTTGTAAATGTGTTTTCAGGTGTGACTTGCATTACGAGAAAATGTCCAGAGTTATCTGCAAACAAAGAGGACGCAGATGGTGAGTTGATGATCACATTCTCCCTGTATCTAATGGTGGAAATTCGCCAATTAAATTAATGTCTGACCACTCAATGGAAGAAAAAAATAAGTAAAATGTTTTTGTCTGAAATCACGATCCAGCGTAGTCTCTCTCACAACCAAAACACATCTCAGAGAGCTACAAAATGAGCTCTTAGCAAAACAAAGTAGCCTATTTATTCAGTAATTTGGTACTATTATGTGCTGCTAGTGAACAACACTGCATGACGTTGAAGCTTAATGGATACATCTGAGTGTGAGCATTTGATTTTCAACTCACTCACGCTTGTATGTGTGTTTTGGAATTAATAACGTCTGAAACACACTTTATTTTCTGAACAAGTATGGACCAGAGTGTGAGTTGCTTTGATTTGCATCGTGCCACAGTTCCACTGCAACCAAACTTAGATGGCCTCCTTCGGCTCCCTAGTCCACATGATGGCGGATTCCCATTTTTTTTTTCTTCATGTGAACAATGCACTGTTTCAGATTTAACTAGTAGTTTAAAAGCCTACTGAGGACTGTGATGTGTTTGAAATTCAGAAGCGAAGACTAGGAGACTTGGATGCATCTTCAACACGATTCTTTATTGAGTATGTGCTGTTTCGTAGCTGCAGTCATCAAGTAAAGGATCCAGGTATAGGATCCTTCCCCAGACTCTAGAGTATAACTAGTCCTAATACAATCAGCATAACTATTCAACTGTTCAACTAACTATCTATTTAACTGTTTCTGCCCGTTCCTCTTCTCTTTATTGCAAGTCAAATAAGCCAGATTAATGAAACTCTCACCTTTTGTCTTTAATGGCTCTTGGAGCCCCTGTCTGATTCATTGAATAGTTATGCTGATTGTATTAGGACTGGTTATACTCTAGAGTCTGGGGAAGGATCCTATACCTGGATCCTTTACTTGATGACTGCAGCTACGAAACAGCACATACTCAATAAAGAATCGTGTTGAAGATGCATCCAAGTCTCCTAGTCTTCGCTTCTGAATTTCCAACACATCACAGTCCTCAGTAGGCAGTAGGCTCAGTATCCTTTATTTGCATGTTTTGTTTAAGGTCGTCACCCAGGCGATCACCGTTGGAGGTGCGACAGTGTTCACTTCACGCCGGTCGCGAATAGCACGTCAAATTCGCGCCTGATGCGTCTAGTTTGACGCTTGACCACTTTGTCTTAATTCGCATGTCAAGAGTGAAACTGATGCGCGTAAAAACAAAAGTTTGAAGCGAAATTTACGCGTGTCAGAATCGAAATCCGTTGGTGGCCATTGTTTTTATGTCGACCGAGCATTCATCGAGAGAGTCACCGCTCTGTATTTACTCAGAACAGTGGCGTGGGGATCATCGTCGCCGTATTTGTGTCCACCGGACCCTTCAGAGGCGAACCCTTTGGCTAGTTTCACCATTTGCTCGCTCCAGGAGCTGCGTTGGATGACGGCCGCTGTAGGCGGTACTTCCGCCTCGGAGCGAGGATCACCCTCGCCCTCATCCATCTAATCTAGCTGTCTTTTATTTTTGTTTTGATGATAAATAGAGTCAGCTTCCAAAAGTTATTAACCTGTCCTGTGATATTTTTTTTTTCTCTCTCACATCCAGACATGAACTTATGCACATGTATGTTGGTTGTCTTTACATCATAATAATATTTCATATAATCTAGATATAGAATGAATAACATTCAATACAAAATGAACATGTCTCGTATATAGAAATAAAGTTTTAAGTGATAAAATATTTGCTTTGTTGTGCATAAGAATCCCACCATGCATTTAGTCAAATTACAAAATAATTTATTGAAGCATCCAGACACTTCACCACATGAGCAAGCAGCTAGGCTCCTGATTGGTTAACGCGGCGCGAATTCACGCCAAAGTTCAGATTTTTCAACTCGGGCGGCAGACGCGAATTCGCGTCAAATGTGTGAATGCACAAATGGCACTAACTAAATCATTCTCGCGTAACTCGCCAGACGCTCAATTCGCGCGAACGAGGCGTATTCGCTTCTTCCGCGCCGTCTTCCACGCCTCATTCCACGCAGGAATTTTTTACACGCGTAATGCGTTTTTGCGTTGATTTAACATTGAAATCATTCGGGCCTGACGCGCTATTCGCGTCCAGTGTGAACGCAGCATAAAGCCTTGTGTACACTCGACGCGTCCGCACGAGTGCGAGTCTCCGCTGACTGCGAGCACACCTATCCAAACGGATGAGGCGTTTATACTTCACGCGCTCACCGGTGTGCTATTCTGTGAAACGACAGGGGGCGACTCGGAGTAATTCTCCTCTAAACCACCAGGAATCAGCAGTGAAGAAGTAGTTTGCCGTTTATTAATTGCTAATTCATAAAAGAGTAAATGCAGAAGGTTTATTAGGGCCCTATGATTTCCGCGATAACGAAATCACGGACGGAATCGCGGAATTGGCCAATTAACGCGGAATCTAGTGTTAACGTGGAATTTAGTGGATTTTTACATATTTGGTTTGAAATTCTGTTTTTGTGTGGGAGATGAACGCATATCTGGTGAAAATGCGGGCGACACAAACCCCTCAACCCGTCATTTCAGCTCCAATGAGGAAATCAAATCAATGAAAGCATGGGGAAGCGGCTCTCCACGGCTCTGCTTTCGTTGGCTAAAAGTTAAGAAACTCGACGCTATAAGCCGTCAGTGCCAAGCAGTTCGCACGTGACTTATGCAGTGTTTCCCACACATTGACTAATTCGCCGCCACATACTGCGTTTCGGTTTTTAACACTATTTAAAACACGCAGTGTATTCTTTCAGTTCCCTGCTCTCCCTCCGTCTCTCTCACACTCACGTGTCTCTCTCTCACACACACACACAACGTGCACACCCCGTCTGTCTATGAGGCGCCAGACTGGACAAAAGCGAAGCGAACTCCGTGAGAGACAGAGTGTGACTTTATTTAAACTTATATAAATGAATATAATTTATATTACAGTTTAAAGCTCATAACCATATTTTGTTGTTACTTGAAGAGTGCAGTGTTATGTTGCATCATGCAGTATTTGTCCTGAAAAGGCTCCTGAGTAAATGTCTGTATTACCTCAATAAATTTAAGGTCATTCCTAATTTATTTGTATTTTTTAATACATTTTAATCACTAACTTTAAAAGCATACTATTTTTACAACTAAAATAACAGTCAAGGGTAAAAAAAAAACAAATTTCCAAAATTTAAAACGGAAAAAACGAAATTTGGGAAAAAATAAAACGGATTTCATAGGGCCCTGGTTTATTGAAGGCTACTTTCACTGCATGTAAACTAGTTAAACAACTGAAGCCTTATTGGAGAGTGTTTAAACCTTAATTTCACCAGCAGGGCTTACTTCTGCTATTGTAGGCTTATTTTGGAAATGTAACCAATTACTTTAGTCGAGCGCAAACTAGGTGCTTAATGCCAACGTGTTCCTGTTCACAAAATGAGATGTTATGGTCGCCCATCAATGCAAATGTCTCTGTGTATATAAGGATCATAAACATGCCGGTACCAGTTCGGCCAGATTCAGCTCAAAGTCGTTCATCTTCGGATGTGGCGCCGCGCGCAATGTTATAAAAAGTGTCGTGCACACCGCTAGGTGAACTGGGGTCTTGCGCTCCCAACCGCCCACACCACAGTGATGTCATTTTTGCAGCACGCCCTTCGCGCTCTTATGAATAACCTTAGTTTTTCGTGTGATGTCAAGACATAGGATCAGCAGATCTTAAAAAGACTTTCATCTTCTGTTCAGGAGATGAGGAGATGGTGTCGATGGATTCCTCACAGGGCATTCAAACAAATACACCGACAGATGAGCTCTCAGAACTGGGCAAGTGCCTTCTCCGAAGTGAGGTAACTGAACATTTATCTGTGGGCTCCATCAGTTGGCTTCGACATCTGACCTCTGAGATCAGTCATTTATTTTTCTCCCTTCCTTTTCAGGATATTTATATGAACCTCCTGACTATATGTTTTAACTCCCTTTCCTGGAAGGACACTGTAAATTGCCAACGGACTGCTGGTTTGCTCTGCTGGACTCTGCTAAAACAGGTGCGGATTTTTCCTGTCTCTCTTAAAGGGATAGTTCACCCAAAAGTGGAAAATCGCCCTCAAGTTGTTAAATATACTTCTTCTGAAGGTATTTTGAAGAATATGGGTAACCAAACAGTCCCTGTTGACTTTTAATAATATGGAAGTCAATAGTTCCCTGGGCCTGTTTGGTTACACACATTCTTCAAAATATCTTCTTTTGTGTTCAGCATTCATACAGTTTTGGAGCGAGGGTGGGTAAATAATGACAGAATTTACATTTTTTGGGTCAACTATCCCTTTATTATAATTCATCACAATATTTCTATCTGTCTGTAAATGAGATTAGAATTGAATTGTAAAGATGCCAGCTATTTTATATTTGAATGTTTTGACTATGTGTGTGTATGTGAATGAATTCTTGTGCAGGTGCTTGGTGGTAACCTGCTTCCGGAGGCTGTGACGTGGCTCTTCGCCAGTGTCCTGAAGGGTCTGCAGATGCATGGGCAACACGAAGGCTGCAATGCTGCACTAACTCAGCTGGCCTTGCTCATCTACGAGGCTCTAGTGCGTCATTTCAGCTCAGCTATCCTAACTTGCATGTTTTTCAGTATGAGAAGCACATTTGTGCATAGATTAATGCAGCACAACAGTAAAAAGTATATCCTTTTTGCCAATGTTACTCTAGTGCACAAAGCAGCTAACCTGCTTGATATCAATTTTTTTAAGTTGGCATTTATGAGATTAAAGTTGACGTCTGACACAGTGCTGCCCACAAGACAATTGCTCATACACAACAGCTTATTTTTATCAGTTCTTTTGTCTTTGGGTCTTTATATTTCTCTTAGATTTCTGCTCGTTCTAAATCACGTAAGGAATAATTGCGAAGCGGAGTGGCCGTTACACTTCGGGTGTGCATTATTTTTCTAATAATTCAACATCCTGAAGTCAATTATTCCGCTTATACTACAGTTACCACACCTCAAAACATTGTTCAGATGATGCATGTCAAGTTTTTGTCATTAAAGCGCTCTTGTATGTAGGACTAATTTCTTAAGCATCTTATCCCATGCCTCAGTTACTAATTCCAAAACGTCATTTTAGAGTTAGTAACGGAGGTTTGAGCCACTGATAGCAGACTAATGATGGGGGACACACTTACAACTCGCTGAAATATTCGAAGACTGACTGTTTCCATCGACTGTAGCAGGTCTTAAACACTGACTGTGAACACGAATTTGAGAATGATCAGTCATAAGTATCAAATTACATTCATAACTGGCCCCAGCTTTATGCGTTATTAATGCAGTTATTAGAGAGAGGAAGAGAGAGAGAGATGTTGAAATAATGAGACAGAAAAGCTTGTGCGTCAATATTATTATTTATTTATTAATTAAATTTGATTTAATTCATTCGTTCATTCTTGTTTTCTATAATTGACAGTAGATAACCCAATAAATAAAACACACAAAGCCCTTTTAACAAGTAGGCCTATCAATAATTATTTATTTGTTATATTATCTGGAATAATTACGAAAATCCATACAGCAGGACTATCAATTCATTTATATATTTATATTTTTCTTGTTATGAATTGTATCCTATTTTCCGTTAACTATGCACCGTGATATGGAACGGTCAAACCTGCCTGAAACTACTTTAGCCGTGCGTTTCCCTGAAAATAATTGCACACCGTAGAACTTTCTCAACCAATCAGAATCAAGCATTCAACAGCCCTGCAGTATAAATATAGATTAAAGATTACATTTATATGAATGCATTGGTGAGAGACCATTTGCGTGTGAACTAAGTCTCTCTAATAGTGAAGCTGTGGGTTTTAGTTACTAAGAAATATATGCTAAAACTTTTCAGCTTGATAAATCCCAGAACCATTTCTGCGCTATTGAATGTTTCTGTGCATGTAATGTGCGGGCTACTGTGTATGTTTGTGCGTTACAATGCAGCAGTGCATTAGTTTAGAACGGTGATTAACTTGCGTGTTAATAAGCTGTTTAAAATGTGCATTCAGCGTTTGAGCATCCACATGGTATAACAGCATATTTCTCCATGTTAAAATGATCCCTCAACTCTCAGTGACACTCTCTGTAACTATTATCAGTTTTATTTTCATAAAAGTCAGTGCTGATCCAAGTAGACGTCAGTGCACTGTGTTATTGGTACTTCAAGTACACAAAGAACAGCGACGTTTAATTACTACCGAATGCGCCTTTAAATGACTGAATGCATCGTTTAGAAAATGTCATTAATATTCATTGTGATATTTCTCTACAGAGGCCTCGATACGCTGAGCTGCGTCTCATCATGAACCAGATCCCTGATATCCAGGTTGATGCTCTGGAGCAGTTTGATCAGAAGGCCATCCAACCCGCTGTGTCAAAGGCTGCAGAGAAGAAAAAGAAAGAGCAGTTTAAACGTCTCATTGCAGGCACTGTTGGGGTATGGACAATTTTAACATTTTTTTTAAAAGAAAAAAAAGTCATGGAATACACTTGTTTGTTCACAAAGATTTGATTTCAAGATGAATTCAAGAAATAGATAATCTCTTGCCACTTTCATTATGGCTATTGCAGACATGCTCAATTTTATTCAAACTTGAATTAAACTAAGAACCAGAGATGTATAAAGTACTAGAAACCCGGACTTGAGTAAAAGTACAAGTGCTCTATCAAAAAAGTGACTGAAAAAGTTGAAGTGCTTTTTAAAGGAGTAGTTCACTTTTAAAAAAACTTTTGCTGGTAATTTACTCACCCCCATGTCATCCAAGATGTCCACGTCTTTCTTTCTTCAGTCGAAAAGAAATGAAGGTTTCTGATGAAAACATTCCAGGATTTTTCTCCATATAATGGACTTCAATGGGAACCAAACGGTTCAAGGTCCAAAAGAGAGTTTCAGTGCAGCTACAAAGGGCTTTAAACGACACCAGACAATGAATAAGGGTACATCTAGGACCCTTCGAGTCATGACTCGAAAAAAGATTTGTTCATTTTGATGGACGAGTTTGAATAGGAGAGCCACGAACGCTCATCACAGAACAGAGCAAGGCGAGCATTTGTGCTTATAAAACTTAGTTTTTTATTTTTGTTTTAAAATGACCGATTGTTTCGCTAGACAAGACCCTCATTCATCGTCTGGTGTCGTTAATAAGACCTTTGAAGCTGCACTGAAACTGTCATTTGGACCTTGAACCGTTTGGTTCCCATGAAATTTTATATCATGACCTTATAACAGACAATCACGATGCATGATCTGAATCCCGATCTTCCCAATTATGAGGTGTACTATGGAGACTGGAACAAGCTTATGGACTTTCAATTCAAAACAGTACTGCAATTAACAATCAGTTGTCAAAATAGTCATTAAACTAGTGGTCGACCGATAAATGTTTTTCAATGGCCCATATCTCAAAGAAATGAATTTAAAAAGAAATCTTTAAATTAAACACTTACTTTAGATTGGGACTTCTTGATTCTGGAATCATATTACAGTATTTTTCACAAATAACTACAGCGTTTGAAAAATGTAAATATAAATGAAGTAAACACTTTAACCAACAGGGCACTCGGTAATCTAAGTCTGAGTGCACTTCAAATAAAAACAAGATAACTCTAATTTTACATGAATATGACACAGCAGGCAACTAAATATACACTATATTGCTAAATGTTTTGGGACGTCTGCCTTTACATGCACATGAACTTTAATCACATCCCATTCCTGATCCGTAGGGTTTAATATGGGGTCGGTCCCACATTTTACAGCTATAACAGCTTCGCCTCTTCTAGGGAGGCTTTCCAGGTTTGGGAGGTGTTTATGGGACTTTTTTTACGATTCTATTAGAGAAAAGCGCATTTTTAATAAGACTGGCTAACACTGGCTCGTTCTCTAATTCATCCCAGAGGTGTTCTGTCGGGTTGAGGTCAGGACTCTGTTCAGTCCAGTCAACTTCCTCCATGCCAAACCCGTCATCCATGTCTTTATGGAGTCATGTTAGTCAACTGAAAGCGGACATCCCCAGGCTGTTCCCACAAAGTTGGGAGCATGAAATTGTCCAAAATGCCTTGGTATGCTGACGCATTAAGAGTTCCTTTCACTGGACCTAAGGGGCCAAGCCCAACCCCTGAAAAACAACCCCGCACCATAATCCCCCCTCCACCAGACTTTAGTGCTATCGGGCAAGTACAGTTCTCCTGCAAAACGCCAAACCTCCAAAACCTCCGTTATTGGTCCTCCAGGGAACATGTCTCCACTGCTCTCTGCATCCAACGCTTTGCAAGGCCGTGTAAACCAATTCCATGAAGCTCTCTACGTACTGTTCTTGAGCTAATCTGAAGGCCATATGAAGTTCATAGGTCTGTAGCTATTTATGACCCCACTTTGTGATTTTTATGTGACCTACCACTTTGTGGCTGAGTTGCTGTTCCCAATTGGTTCCACTTTGTCATAACACCACTAAAAGTTGACCGTGGAAACTTCACCAATGGTAACCTATCACGGTGCCATGCTGAGGGCAACCCATTCAGTTTGCATTAATTGTGTTTTACAGTGGAATTCATTGTGGAAAAACTACATTACCCATGATGCTGTACTCCAAATTCCACCAGAGTTGCAGAGATCACGCCAAAAGCAAAACCATTCCAATGAAGCACCACTCAAAATACTTAAATATATATTTTTAATCCCTATGGGAAAAATGAAAAAATCACCTAATCATGCACTCGAACCCTGATGATGTTAACCTGCATCGCTCAGCTCTAATCATTCATACAGTTCAAATAAAATAAAAGCAAAATATAAACACTTTTTTTTTTTGTTACAATATCTTGGTTCCTGGTCTGCTACAATGATGATATCAACATCATTTCATTTCAACATTATAATCAATTGGTCAATTTATGTTTGTGCTGTTAGAAACCTTTAGGACAGCAGTTCAAGAAGGAAGTGCACATCCGAAACCTGCCATCTCTGTTTAAGAAGCCAAAGCCTACGACAGATATGCTGGAGAACACTGATGCTGCAGGTCTGATCGCTCTATTCTCTCCTGACCGTGACCATTGCTGAGGGAACCACAGCGTTATCACACCCTCACTTCATTCAACCTTGTGTGTGTTGTACAGTATCCAGTCTGAAATAAGGAAAGACAACAAGAACATGTTTCATTCAATTTGGATGTACATTGTTGCTTTTGTATGGATCTGTGTAATGGATCTGTATAATTGTCATTTAAAGAAAATTTCAATCTTGCTGTCGGAGCACCTCAGAAAAGATTTTTTTTTTTTTTTTTTTGGAAAAAGATCGAGAAGTACCACATCTGTTCTGGGGATCTTATGTGCAAAACCAGCATCCAGCACTACATTCCAGTAGGAGACGATGAGCTACAGTATTTTTAAAAAAACAAAATTACAAAATCAACACTAATTGGACATGTCTGTGTACAGATTATGTAAAAAAGTGTTGTGATTTATACTCTGCAGTTTTTAATAAATGTATACCTGGACAGTTTCAGTGATTGCACAGACTCTTTCTTCAGTAGTTCAATATTTTATGCAGACTTCACAACTGTGACCAACTCATTTATGAACATGTCGGTGCATCTGAGACAAAGATGGATAAAGACATTTTCCTCTCATGGAATCCTTGTAAAAAGTGAAACAATTAAATTTTCCAAAGGCATTTTAACTTGATAAGGGCATTTTTTTTTTGTCATATTCTTAAATTAAGTTAGTAAATGTAGTTTATTGATAATAGACTAAAAGGATTACCCATTGGCCCAATGCCCGAATCCAATGGCATGGGTGAAGGTGCACTGCTTGTAGGTCTTTTACTCGTGCTTCTGTAAAGTGCACTTTATTTATTAGTTTAATTTAAATTTGATTTTGTCTCTGTGCTAAACCCTTTTGTGTCCTTGGAGATCAGATGGTGCTATTTCTCAGGTTTGGCCAATGGAGAAAAACTCTTTTCTTTTCTGTTTTTGCTGCATTAGATGGTACAGGCTAGTTGAATGCATGATATATCTCTAATTGTGTAAGTGAAGGGTGAAATGTAGTGTTTTGTTTTAAATCTGACACTGCAGAAAAAAATGCATCAAAACTGATATTCTTGTTAATCATTGACATATCTGAGACTGTAAGAATCACCCCAAAATTTGCTTAGTATTTTTTTTAGTTTTAAATAGTTAAGGGGATCTGGGGAGCAACCTGTGAGAATTAGGAAATTTTGAGTTGTAGACAAACTTATGGGATAGACTTTTTATGTTATGAGCAATAAGTGCTCTTAAAGATATTAACTGCATGTGTTTAAATATTATACTTTGTATCTGAAAACATCTAGAATTTGAATCGCGTTGTCTCTGGGAGATGGTATGAAAAAAAAACGATCAGCGGCTGGGATGTAAAAACACCAGCACACTTCACTCCTAGTTCACCTCTATGGATGTGCATTAAAACATTTGAATGCATTTCTTACTGTCTATAATTAAAACAGTTTGAGTTTAATTTAGAAACAAAATTGCAAAACCATTTGAAATTTGTTTTAAAAAAAGACACCATTCTACAAGTTTAGCCCACGTTATTGTTTTATTGATGATGTGTCTCCTTCTTGACCAGCAGGTGTCGTCAGTACGTTATGAAACCAAATCATTTTGCGAATCAATTGGTTGTTGATTCAGTTTTTCTAAAAGCACTGCACTGTAAATGCAGGCAGCACAGAGCTGGAGTGGGCATACTTGTTGGAGAAGTATATCCTCAAAAACGTCTCGGTTACGTATGTAACCCTCGTTCCCTGAGTAGGGAACGGAGACGTTCCGTCGGATGACGACAAATGGGGTTTTGCTTAGAAAGCCTATCGACTTCGAGTATTACAAAGTGAGCCAATGGCAAAGAAATGCCATGGGTCTGGGGATTTTGCATAGCGTATCTCCGCCTTACCTCGTGGGTATAAAAGGAGGACACTGGCAATAGACGGAAGACGGAACATCTCCGTTCCCTACTCAGGGAACGAGGTTTACATACATAACAGAGACGTTCCCTTTCGTTGTCACTCCGAGTTCCGTCAGATGCCGACGAATGGGGTTACCAGTCTAATCACGCCACCTTCACAGCTGCGTAAAACGTAAGATCCCTGTCGTGAGACTGGCACGGACGAAGAGCTCCTGTTTAGCACAGGAATACCATGGAACACTGGGCAGCATATCTCATAGTTTAGAGGAAATATGCAATTACTGCCAACCAGTAAGGAAGCATTTGGAGAAAAACTGAGGTGTCCAGCCGCAGGTGGACAATTAAAAGTTTGGAGAAACTTAATTTTTCGCCCAAAAAAAACACGTAAGGGGTACCACTGTCGTTTTTTTTTTCGGGCCGAATTTTTGAGTTTCGATATCTCAGCTCTGGAAGGGGCTAGAGCCTCCATTTTTGCACTCAGGTCTAAGTCTCATGGCCCTCTATCAGAATTTGGGAAGATTGGAGAAACTTAATTTTTCACCCCAAAAAAAAAAAAACGTAAGGGGTACCACTGTCGTTTTTTTTCGGGCCGAATTATTGAGTTTCGATATCTCAGCTCTGGAAGGGGCTAGAGCCTCCATTTTTGCACTCAGGTCTAAGTCTCATGGCCCTCTATCAGAATTTGGGAAGATTGGAGAAACTTAATTTTTCGCCCAAAAAAAAAAACGTAAGGGGTACCACTGTCGTTTTTTTTTCGGGCCGAATTTTTGAGTTTCGATATCTCAGCTCTGGAAGGGGCTAGAGCCTCCATTTTTGCACTCAGGTCTAAGTCTCATGGCCCTCTATCAGAATTTGGGAAGATTGGAGAAACTTAATTTTTTCCCCCCAAAAAAAACGTAAGGGGTACCACTGTCGTTTTTTTTTTCGGGCCGAATTTTTGAGTTTCGATATCTCAGCTCTGGAAGGGGCTAGAGCCTCCATTTTTGCACTCAGGTCTAAGTCTCATGGCCCTCTATCAGAATCCAGAGTTTTGGGAAGATTGGAGAAACTTAATTTTTCGCCCCCAAAAAAAACGTAAGGGGTACCACTGTCGTTTTTTTTTCGGGCCGAATTTTTGAGTTTCGATATCTCAGCTCTGGAAGGGGCTAGAGCCTCCATTTTTGCACTCAGGTCTAAGTCTCATGGCCCTCTATCAGAATTTGGGAAGATTGGAGAAACTTAATTTTTCGCCCCAAAAAAAAAACGTAAGGGGTACCACTGTCGTTTTTTTTTCGGGCCGAATTTTTGAGTTTCGATATCTCAGCTCTGGAAGGGGCTAGAGCCTCCATTTTTGCACTCAGGTCTAAGTCTCATGGCCCTCTATCAGAATTTGGGAAGATTGGAGAAACTTAATTTTTCGCCCCAAAAAAAAAACGTAAGGGGTACCACTGTCGTTTTTTTTTTCGGGCCGAATTTTTGAGTTTCGATATCTCAGCTCTGGAAGGGGCTAGAGCCTCCATTTTTGCACTCAGGTCTAAGTCTCATGGCCCTCTATCAGAATTTGGGAAGATTGGAGAAACTTAATTTTTCGCCCCAAAAAAAAAACGTAAGGGGTACCACTGTCGTTTTTTTTTCGGGCCGAATTTTTGAGTTTCGATATCTCAGCTCTGGAAGGGGCTAGAGCCTCCATTTTTGCACTCAGGTCTAAGTCTCATGGCCCTCTATCAGAATTTGGGAAGATTGGAGAAACTTAATTTTTCGCCCAAAAAAAAAAACGTAAGGGGTACCACTGTCGTTTTTTTTTCGGGCCGAATTTTTGAGTTTCGATATCTCAGCTCTGGAAGGGGCTAGAGCCTCCATTTTTGCACTCAGGTCTAAGTCTCATGGCCCTCTATCAGAATTTGGGAAGATTGGAGAAACTTAATTTTTCGCCCAAAAAAAAAACGTAAGGGGTACCACTGTCGTTTTTTTTTTCGGGCCGAATTTTTGAGTTTCGATATCTCAGCTCTGGAAGGGGCTAGAGCCTCCATTTTTGCACTCAGGTCTAAGTCTCATGGCCCTCTATCAGAATCCAGAGTTTTGGGAAGATTGGAGAAACTTAATTTTTCGCCCAAAAAAAAAAACGTAAGGGGTACCACTGTCGTTTTTTTTTCGGGCCGAATTTTTGAGTTTCGATATCTCAGCTCTGGAAGGGGCTAGAGCCTCCATTTTTGCACTCAGGTCTAAGTCTCATGGCCCTCTATCAGAATTTGGGAAGATTGGAGAAACTTAATTTTTCGCCCCAAAAAAAAACGTAAGGGGTACCACTGTCGTTTTTTTTTCGGGCCGAATTTTTGAGTTTCGATATCTCAGCTCTGGAAGGGGCTAGAGCCTCCATTTTTGCACTCAGGTCTAAGTCTCATGGCCCTCTATCAGAATTTGGGAAGATTGGAGAAACTTAATTTTTCGCCCAAAAAAAAAACGTAAGGGGTACCACTGTCGTTTTTTTTTCGGGCCGAATTTTTGAGTTTCGATATCTCAGCTCTGGAAGGGGCTAGAGCCTCCATTTTTGCACTCAGGTCTAAGTCTCATGGCCCTCTATCAGAATTTGGGAAGATTGGAGAAACTTAATTTTTCGCCCAAAAAAAAAAACGTAAGGGGTACCACTGTCGTTTTTTTTTCGGGCCGAATTTTTGAGTTTCGATATCTCAGCTCTGGAAGGGGCTAGAGCCTCCATTTTTGCACTCAGGTCTAAGTCTCATGGCCCTCTATCAGAATTTGGGAAGATTGGAGAAACTTAATTTTTCGCCCAAAAAAAAAACGTAAGGGGTACCACTGTCGTTTTTTTTTCGGGCCGAATTTTTGAGTTTCGATATCTCAGCTCTGGAAGGGGCTAGAGCCTCCATTTTTGCACTCAGGTCTAAGTCTCATGGCCCTCTATCAGAATCCAGAGTTTTGGGAAGATTGGAGAAACTTAATTTTTCGCCCAAAAAAAAAACGTAAGGGGTACCACTGTCGTTTTTTTTTTCGGGCCGAATTTTTGAGTTTCGATATCTCAGCTCTGGAAGGGGCTAGAGCCTCCATTTTTGCACTCAGGTCTAAGTCTCATGGCCCTCTATCAGAATTTGGGAAGATTGGAGAAACTTAATTTTTCGCCCAAAAAAAAAAACGTAAGGGGTACCACTGTCGTTTTTTTTTTCGGGCCGAATTTTTGAGTTTCGATATCTCAGCTCTGGAAGGGGCTAGAGCCTCCATTTTTGCACTCAGGTCTAAGTCTCATGGCCCTCTATCAGAATTTGGGAAGATTGGAGAAACTTAATTTTTCGCCCAAAAAAAAAAACGTAAGGGGTACCACTGTCGTTTTTTTTTCGGGCCGAATTTTTGAGTTTCGATATCTCAGCTCTGGAAGGGGCTAGAGCCTCCATTTTTGCACTCAGGTCTAAGTCTCATGGCCCTCTATCAGAATTTGGGAAGATTGGAGAAACTTAATTTTTCGCCCAAAAAAAAAACGTAAGGGGTACCACTGTCGTTTTTTTTTTCGGGCCGAATTTTTGAGTTTCGATATCTCAGCTCTGGAAGGGGCTAGAGCCTCCATTTTTGCACTCA